GGCAGTCAACGAGTAATTTTATGAACTTTTGTAATCTAACGAAATAAAATTGTTTTTTAAAAAGGGCTCTCGCCGGTCTCATTAGTTAATTCACGATTTGGCTATATAATTCCATTATAATCGATTTTGCTTCAAAAATTTGTGGGTTTTGGCTTGTTATGGCGGGTTAAGTGAAAATGCGTTGCGTTCTTTCAGTTCAAGAATGCAAGTGGCAATGTTGGATTAATGCTAATATTATATTTTGTTGTATTTTGTAATATTTGTAAAATGTCCACAAAAATGCTTTGAATCTTATGATAGCCACTACGAGACATATTGGTTCACATTGAAAATGATAGACAGAAATGGCCAAGCAATTGCATTAATGTAGTTATTTATTTTCTGAAAATATATCAATTTGTAAAATTGTATACATATTTTTCGCTTGTTTGTTTGTGTGAAATAAACATACATCTTTGAACTGTACGCGACAACCAGCGATTTTATAGATCAACTCGCTTATTCTGTCAACACGTATAGGTTTCGTCAAAATAATTCATATTCATATTCAAGTCGCGCGAATAAAAATGTATACGAAGTCGATTCTTGTTTGCACGATGTTGCGAATAAACTAATACGTAAAATCCAATTGTGGTGGTTACGGCCAATAAGTAAATATTATTTTTTTTTAGATTAACATATTATCTGAAGTTGGTTGGAATTTTTAGAATGTTTTTTTTTTTAATTTTTAATTCTTTGAGGCTTTTAAATTATTTACTCAAATTTGTTTATTTCGGTCTTCAAGTCGAGTCGAACGAACATGACTTCTAGTGTGTCCTTAGTCTTATACTCCAACCACCACGTATTTCTGCATAATATATTTGGTGTTATTTGAGCAAAATCGTTTTAAGTGTAACCGTAATCTTTATCTGAGGTTTCTGGCAGGTAATTGGTCCACTTTACCGAAAGAAACAGTTTTTCTTCACGCAAAAGCAAAGCAACGTACACGCAATTGGTTGCCCGCAGAACTCCACCCTCACCACGGAGAGCCCCAGGCAACCGGGGCCACAAGCAGCTCGTGCATCGGGGAAGGTAATTTAATGTTACCTTTCTCTACTGGATAGTTTTTAATTTTTTAAATATTTTTTTAGGACGGCCTAGCCGCACCTTCCGCCAATAAACGACGCTGGGTCCCACCATCGACACTCCGGCTCCGCGATGCGGTCGCCACGCCTGAGTCTCGTAATGATCAGGTTTTTCGCAAGGTACGATTCAGTTATTTTTTTTAAATTCTCAGTTAACATTTTTTTAATCGCTTAGGTCAGGGGTATTCTCAACAAGCTCACGCCAGAGAAATTCCAGAAGTTGAGCGATGACTTGCTGCGCGTTGAGCTGCAGTCACCGGTCATCTTAAAAGGAGTTATCATACTTATCTTCGATAAGGTCAGTTAACCGACACAGCAAAAGAACGTCCATCATTCAAACAACGGATTGTTTTCTGTGAATTATAGGCGCTAGATGAGCCGAAATACTCGTCGATGTACGCTCAGCTTTGCAAGAGACTGAGCGAAGAAGCGCCAAATTTTGAACAAGGCGACGGTAGCACTAACACCTTTCGAATTCTTCTTCTTAACAAGTGCAAAGTGAGTCAGTGGTTTTAAATAAATAGAGCGATTGATGATATATGTGGCGTTTAGGTCGAATTTGATAATCGAGCTGCAGCACTTGAACGCAATATCAATGGAGTCGCTGAGGATGGCAGCCTCCTCGACAAGGATGAGCTGGAGGAGCGACGACAAACGACCAAACGGAAGATGCTCGGCAATATTAAATTTATCGGAGAGTTGGGAAAGTTGGAAATGTTATCCGAAGGCATACTGCACAGATGTATCCGAGTAAGACCCAAAACTATTTAAATGTAATGAGGGTACCAGTTTTAAACTCGAGATTATCATTTTATTACTAGTTGTAATTTTTTTGGTGAATTATTACTTAATACCCATCTAGCTACTTGACACCAATAAAATATTACCACTATTATTAATAAAAATTGTAATTAATTGCAGGAGCTGCTCGTGCGGCGAGGAGACGACCCCGCAGAAGATCTGGAATGTTTGTGTCAAATCATGCGTACATGTGGTCGAATTTTGGACACGGAGAAGGGTAAAAATCTCATGGAGCAATATTTCTACCGAATGCGTTCATTGGCTGAAAATATGGATTTGCAGCCCCGGATAAGGTACAGTAACAAGTATTATGCGGCTCTTTTGGCCCCATTATGGTGGTGTCCTGATCGTATTGGATTGGCGAATTAGTGTACTACAATTGAAGGGGTTAAAAGCAGAACCAAAAGGTCACAAAAGGTTTATTTAGAGAAATGGATCGTCAACGTTTTCTTACAATGGAAAATTCTTAGCTTATAAATTAAATTAGTTTGTGTTTTATATTCAAAGGACAAAAACTTATACAAAAAAGCACGGATTTTGCCTTTGAATGAAAACAAGTTTTCGAAAAATACAAACGACAAGGCAAACATAAATGAATGTTAAGCAGTACAACTAAATTTACTCGTAATCGGACAACAAATCCATGTAATTATTATCTTGTTATATTATATTTTTGCGGCTTTGGCTCATGGGGCAGGCCAGGAAGGTTGAAATCTAGCGATTTTTAATTCTGCCATTTCTCATATTTAATTTTCAGTGTTTCTTAGTAAAGAAGCTCAAAGTTTAAATTATTTACTGGACGCCCCACATTTTTCGAGCATTGTCTGACTGAAAAAATGGAAAGTCCTCATCCAAAGTTTTTTTTAAGGAAAGCTGAGATGTTTGGTTTTTATTGTGCGACAACCATTTTGTGTTTCTCAGTTTATAGTTTGACTTCGTGTGTCTTTTTTGGATGCTTAATATGCTTGTTTGAATATTTTGAAATTGATACAAAATATAGCTCTAGCTTCTTTTGGATTTTTTTATGGCTGATGTTGAAAAATTTATTTGTAGGTCATAAGTCGGTAAACTGTACAACTTAGGAAAATTTCGTTATCTCTCATCCCCTGTAAATATTCCCCACATGGTATCTGCCTGTTTAATACCGTTGAGCGATATTTTTCTCTGGTTTCATATTCTTGATCAGAAAGCCTATTCTTCTTTACTACATTTCTTTTCAATTCGTTAATTTTTATTGTGCTTTTTCGGGTTCGTTTAGGGGCTACTAAGCAAAACAACCCAAGTGCTACTCAACCGTTTTTGGCTCTAAACGTCTGATGCGATTTCTTTACATACAATTTTTTGTTAACTTAAAGAAGCCGCCAGGCTATGATTTTTACCAGCAAATAGAAGCAGTGGAGACCACGCGTTAAGACTTAAGTCAGTTTTGCAAAATATTACGCATTTTGCTTCTAATTCCTTCAATTAGTCTCGGTCAAAACAATTCAAAACCTAATTTAAAAAAATTCCCTTTCTAGGTTTATGTTGAAAGACATAATAGATTTGAGAAATGATAATTGGATGCCTAGAAAGGCTACAGTGGTCGAAGGGCCTGTTCCAATGGCGCAGATCAGGCCAGCTGAGAATGACCGACAAGGATTTCGAAGGTAAAGTGAACTCACCAATATTTCTGGAGGACTAGCTGATAATTGAAATTGAATTTTTATAGAGACCGTAACCAGCACGACCGAGAATCCGATAGAAACCAGACTGATTCGTTGTTTCGACACCCGTTAAAAACCAGGGGTGGCCTCGACGATATGCTGGCCGAATTGAGTTTAACTTCTTCGCCCGCTGCTTTGATTCCTGTTGGTCCTCCTTTTGGAGGTCCCAATGGATTTGGGGGCCGCGATGGTAGAGATGCTCCTTTTAGAGGCGATAGGCGCAACCAAGGTTTTAATACTGGCAACTATGAAGGAAGTCGGAGAGGACATTACAAACATAACCAGAACAATTCCGGGTCCAATTTTAATAACCGTAAGTTCGTTTTTATTGGCGATGATCTGGCTTTTACCCCGTGGTTTTTCTACAGAGTCTAACAAGGATATAGCTCCACGCTTCAAACGCAACAATCTTATCGTGGCCAAGGAAGAACTCCAGGAAGTGGAGTTGCGTCCGAATTCCATGCTGTTTAATAAGGCTTCGGTTCTAAATCACAATGCTGCCAATGCGGGCTCTCAGATGATTCGCGCTCTTTCTGTGGAAGTGCCGTCGTTTGGTGGCGGCAAACTGCCGCCTAGTGCCCTTAAGGAGCCTTTGCCTATGAAGCAGGTCACTCAGGATAAACCCAAGTCTAAAAAAGACAAGGTAATTAATATCCAATAATCGACTTTAGACCCAATCCGACGGGGAAACTCTGCTTTTATTAGGGACCGAGCAAAGAAGAGGTATTAAAGAAGTTCAATACCTTATTAGACGAATACTGGAAAGCAGAAGTAGATCTTCGGCAAGCCATTAACTCGTACAAGGAACACAAAGTACCAGATAAGTTTGTCAAAGAACTTATTTTGTCAGGATTATCGTTGGCACTGGATAAGTCCGGTAAGCAATCGCAACCTGATGATATTAACCTTTTTTTTATGTTCTGTTTTATTTTGAGCAGATTTGCAGCAGGAAAAGTTCATACAACTCATTGGCAATCTGAAGGAAAACGGGGCTGTTTCTGGAAATGCCGTGCAGGATGCTGTTAAGGCGCTTTGTCATGTTTTGGATCAACGTACTAGTGACGGTGAAACGGAAAGAGACGTTGTTATAACCGCGGCATCTGGGTTATTAGCGGCGGCAGTTTGTGAACATTTAGCTCCATTATCGGACGTTGCTTTGCTGACTGATAATGGCGCCCATTATCCTCTCTTCCTTTTGGTGTTGCAACGCATTAAGGCTAAAACTGGCAAGTCGGAGTTGAGTGAGATATTTAACAAGAGTAAGGTAAGAAAGCATATCATCTTGTCTATTTACACTTTTTACTTCTTAAATTGGTTTTTGTCTGAAACATTCATCATATTAAAATTAACTAAAATTTTGCTTGTGCAGATAAACTTAATGGCTCAACTTCCTGAAGCTGACAGAACAAAAGAGAGACTATCGGAGATCCTGGACGAGCGCGAACTCACGTTCCTTTATCCACTGTTGCGTATTCAAGCTGACTTGGCCAGGCAGCTGGCGGCCGATCCCAACCCGCAAACATTTTATAAATGGATTAAGGTTAGATTCTTTGCAAGAAAAATGCCGGTGCTATGCACTAATTAGTTCAGTTTTTTTAATGCAAAGTTGCTTGTTATGTGTATGAGAAAAAATGGAATGTTTGTTTAGGAAAACTTGGAACCAGCTAACTTCAACGATCCAGGATTTATTAATGCTCTTGTCACTGTTCTGATCAAGTATATTACACAAGAAGCCCAATCAGCAGGGGATGAAAAAGGAATGGTATGGCTATTTTCTTTACAATAAACATTCATTAACTCATGTTCTTAAATTCTAAACTCATTAATATTGCAACGTTATTCATGCGTCTTTCTATGGATCCATCATCTTCTGCTTCATTTGCTTTAACATACAAGTGATACCTATAACATGATCTGATAATATACAACTGTTTTTTTTGTATTTCCTTAGACTGAAAAAGAAAATGCCTTATTGAAACGTTATCAAGTGATCCTGCACGCGTTTCTACGCGACAAATCTTCTTTGCAATTGGTAGCCGTCTACTCTTTACAAATGCACTTCTACGCTCAAGGTTTTCCTCGTGGTCAATTGTTAAGATGGTTCATGTCCATGTACGAATTAGAAATCGTTGATGAGGAAGCTTTTCTTAACTGGAAAGAGGACGTGACTGACGCATATCCCGGGAAAGGACAAGCATTATTCCAGGTAACATTTTTACCAATGTCTACATTTATAAACCACTTCCAATTTTCGACAAACTACAATAGAACTATTCTGTTGGGGATTGAAAATTTGTTGCTTTTGCTAACACTTTGTTCAAAGGAAAATATACTTCTCAATTTGTGAACATTAATATTTACAATTTGTTGTCATCTCAAAAGTTTATCTTTTAAACTTTTCACCACTTGCATGTATTATTCGATTAATTTGAATTAAATGGTTCCTATAGTTATTTCTGTAAACTTTTATTTGAAACGGTTTATTTCAGGTCAATCAGTGGCTTACTTGGCTGCAAGAAGCTGAATCAGAAGACGAAGAAGGAGATGACTGAACAGCAACACCCCTCCAAGAGACACCGCTGGTGTCTCAAAACTGTTTATAATCACGCCCATTTTTTTTTAACAAAGTAATCAAGTAAGTTTAATGAAAAAAAAGAAAATTACCGAAGAACGCAAACAGTTTTTCCCGTGAATTAAATGAGATTCTAACATTGGATATTTTAAAATAAGGGTTTGGATTTGCGAAAGTATTGTGTGTTTTTAGAGTTGGAACTGCTGTGGTGGTAGGCAGGTATCATTTTCGAGTTATCTGATATAATACATAATTGCCGTCTGGTCGAAGGCTTTGAAGCGGATTGGTTTGGTTTGGACACTAAAATAAATATTATTTGAGTTTTTAGTGTTTACCTAGGGCTATTTAGTCGATAGTCTATTCTCCCATAAAAGTTTTTTATAAATACCTTAACATCTTTGATGGGTTAGCGGACTAAATGGCCTAGAACCAAGTAGGTTTCAAGTTCACAACCGAAAACAACAGCTCAGAGCAATAAATGTAACTCAAAATACCACCAAAATTGCCTTAGGTCAATGTTAAACAATTTTAGGTAATCAATGTCGTAACTTAATGGGACTGTTTTTATTGATTTGCGTTAAGTATTTTTGTTCGCTCATTCTATTTATACGAAGATTTAGACGGATTTTGTTCTTTAGACGTTAAGCGTTGAAGCAGTAATTAACTGTAGATTTAGTTCTCGTAATATCTTAGCAAAATATATTGTAGGTTATTAAAGTAAATGCTGCAAATGGAATACCGGTATATCTTGAAATGCTATTCTGTCGTAATTTTCCAGCGATTATGACTAATTAATAAAGAATTCGTTTCATTCTTGGCATTATGGAATTTGGAAATCATTAGGTAACATCAGTTTTCTGTTGAAACTTATTTTTAAAATCTGCCAGTACCTTGAAACATCTGGTATGTAACAAAGATATTTCAGATCACTGAAAATGACTGTTATTTGAAGATTTACTGTTCCTTATATAAAATACCGAGAAATGTTATGCAATTTTACCTCATTAACTTCAATATACAACTCGTGAATGAATGGTGATGATGTAAAGTGTAAAAGGTATTTGATTTGGACGTAAACTGGTCACGATCGGACCGAAGCCTTATGAAGTCATTATTTGCTCGTTTTTACAAGGCTGAATAAACTTAGATTAGTGTAGGAATATATCTGGTACTTTAAGTACTATTTATAAATTTCTTAATTCACTATCAAGCTAATGCAGAATTTAATGTCTGATTGTTGAAAATAACATTACTTTTATTTGGTTACTATAGTACTTGCTTAAATTTTAATTCTATAATTTTTATTGCGTATTTTATATTTTTTCGTATGTTTATTATCGACCTCAATTTGTAACTTTCAACTGCGAATTTTAGTAATATTTAAACTGCTCGAATGACCTGTGGTTTTAGAATTAGTTTTTATATTGCCTAGAACTAAACACATCTCGATAGTTCTGATTAGTTTTAGTTGGGAAGTATGCATGTCTCAACTACCTCCCCAAATGTGACTTTTCCAATGATGTCTTTCCCGTCTAAGATCCAAACTCGTATTTTAAAACGCGAATCTCTTTATTTGCCGTTTTCAGGAAATTTACAACAAACTACATCATTTTTCGTTTTCATTTTTTAACATCAGTAATTTGTTCAAAATCTAAAAAAAATGGCATTGCAGTGGTAAGCAGAGTCAGCTTTACATCCCTATTCAAGGTATTGAACGATCATTCTAAACTCTATAAAAAGTGTGCTTGCTAGGCAAGTTCGAATCCCACATTTTTACCGAAAACTGTTACTTGAATAAAACGTTAATTTGGTTTTTCTGTGCTGGCACACTACTCGAAATTTCAAATAAGATTTATTGGCATAAAAAATCCGTTAGAGTAGAGCACCATCACGTAATATTATAATTTCTCCTTCGATACGTTTAAGGAGGAAATTGCAACAATCTTGTTCGAACAAAAACAGAATTGTTTTATGGTTTTTATAAAGTAATTGTAACAATAGCACAAAACCATTTTTGTTTCATGCCATCTTTTCTTTATTTATTATTAAAAGTCTCTAGGTTTATGTTTTGACGAAATTACGTCTGGGTTCACTTTAAAAATATTTGTATAAGCAGAATTTTGTGAAATACTTAGGAATATGAAAATATAGGTAAATATAGTCATCGACCCCCAAAAGATTGTATTGTGGAGTGCACTCCGAAAAACGTTTATTCAATAATCACAGTCAATTAGATGGAATTGAATAATTTAAATTGGTCACAAGTGTCTTAAAAATTCGTGGCAAGCCATTCTGATTATAAATTAATACTGTCAATTAATTTGTTGCGTTCGAAAACCTTGCGGCAGATTATTATTTTTTGAATTTTATAAAAATGCTAATTTGATTATTTTATTCATTTATTGCAACCGAATTTTCAGAGCTGCAAAGCCGCATTAGATCTAGATTTGATTTTTCGGAAAGCACTTTACTTTTTCTGGCTTGGGGCTTATAATGTTCAAATTCATGGAAATCTACACAAAAATGTGTTCTAATAAGTTTAATTTGTTGTAAAAATGTGTACTATTTTTTCTACTTATTTCTAGACTATTTCTGTACACCTAGACTATAGTTCCGCAAAAAAATGCTATACTGTCAACTTTATGTTAATAAAATGTTCGGTGGTGTTTTACTATCGACGACGATTTTAAGATTATGTATTTGTTTGAAACTTGCAGTATGCAAACTGTCTGGTCCTACCCTATTCCCAAACTGTTGGCTCGTGAGAAATTTTGAAATTTATAACAGCGCCCTTATTTTTTTATTTGAAATAACTTTCTGAAGGAGAAGTCTTTTAAACTGGTGCTCATATCCCAAGGGGAAATGTAATACGTGCACACTAGTGTTTATAAATATGATTTTATTCAAAATCAAATTATATTATCACATTTAGAACAGAAAACCATCGTCACTTACTACAAATATCACAATGCACAAAACTATGTCATTTTAGAAAATCAGATACTTCTTGCAATTCCCTATCTCTGGCTTGCTCATGTGCCCATCTTGCTTCTGCCTTTTTGTCGCTCTGTGACCATTTAAAGTGATAGAGCTTGGCTCCACATTTAGCGCATTTTTTATTTCCAAACGGTGGCTGCTTCATAAACTCTAGCAGGCATCCTTGGTGGAATACATGACCACAGTATACTCGTTCAATATGATTTGGCGAGTTTGGGTCACGTTCTAAAAGCTGCTTAAATATGTTTTAACTAAAATCTACACAATGGCTTTTTTATACCTTTGCGTCAGATGGAAAACATTTTTCCGTACAAAACGGGCACTCTTCAAACGGAAGTCTTTTTACACAGTCTATTAGGAAAAGCAGAGTTTTTTCCATCGAAGGAATAGGCACGAAAGGTGCAGCATTTGGCTTTGGGTGTAGCGGGGCTTCCACACATCTCCGAGCAATCTCTTTTGCCTGGGCAATCATGTGCGTGTAAAAGGGAGTTGTAAAATTCGTTTCCACCTGTTGTATACTGAAGATGAGATAATATTATTTTGTTTCACATTAGTTCAATATTTCGTACACGCCAAATGTGATTATTTCAGTAAATATATAGCAAATCGTTGAAACGCAAAAGAATCATTTCCATATTACGTAACTTCAGGTACTAGCATTAAGCCACCGTATTGGAAATGTATGGTTTTGAAACTGCAATAGGAACTTACTCAACTGCAGTCGATGGGTAATTATCTGGCACCATCACCCGTCCAATCAAGTAGTACTCTTCATTATAGACCTTCAATACGACGGTAGAGCTTTTCTGCTTTAGTTTCAGTTGATCCTTACCACTAAGGATTAGTTTCAATGCGTTTATTTCATCATAGCAGCAAATTAGGGAGTTTTCATCGATAAATTTACGCACAAACTTTAATAGGGGTAGAATTTGAGATTTACCTACAACGAAACAAACGAATAGGTGCAGGGAAAGTAAAGGTGATACTTTTTATACACATTTATTTTATAAACTCGATTAGTGAAAGTTAATGAAAAATATAGGAACAAGTTTATAAATGATGAAATTTGTATGAACCCTAATGGATCGCTATCGTTGCAATACTAGTGTTAACTTTTGGGGTGTTTTCAATCATTTGTTTCGTGATCTATGCGAATATCAACGGTTCTGTTCGCATCCAATATACAAATGGTCTTTTTTCATTCAATTCTTATATTTTCTCATTGAAAATATGTGTGCGGCAGCAATTTATCGTACTTTATATTAACTGTAATTGATGTCACTGATTTATTATGTTTTACTCGTTTTAGTATATGTAATCTAATCGTTTTTAAAAAGCGCCACTGCAAAAGATACGGGAAAATTTTCTGTATTTAAGTTTCTGAAAAATAATATAGCCCAGACTATGAGGGAAAACTGGTGGCGCGTGGTTTAATATTAAAATCGGGGGAGATTAAAAAAAGGCTATTTTTTGTCTTAAAGTTCCTGGAAAAAAAATTGTCTTTATATTTTGCACAATAAGCGTATTAGTGGAGAAAATTAAATTTCCCCTGTACTAAATATGCACAATATCCAGCTGAAAACCCGAACTTCTCAGGTTCTTTGCGGGAGAAAATTTTCACCATTCAAATTTACTACAGCCTGACTGATATGAAGTGTCCCATGATTAAAAACCTGTATTTTTTTGTTTCAAAAAATGTTTGCAAATAATCAACTTGAAAAATTGCATTTGCATATTTTAAATTTAATATCCTTGAGAGAGGTGATAGATACATCGCACGCTGCAAGCAAGTGACTTTGTGGTATGTATTCGTTGCCATTCCAGCCAAACTATCTTGTTTTTGGGAGATCAGAGCTAAACATTCTTGGTTGACCTGAGTCTTGTTGGAATGTCCATCGCTTCCGACCGAAATGCTTGTTTGCCCATGGTTTCAATAAACTTTCTAAAACTTTTTTGCGATTGATTATCGCACTAACTCTGAGTTTACGAGCCAAAAACACGAACGGAGAGCGTCCATCAGGAGTCACTGCCGCCAGTACCCTCAAATATGGTGACCGTTCGATGGTACAAGTTTTTGCTTGATCTATCCTTTAAGTAAACACGATAATTTTGCCTGTTAAAGCTTTGCTCTACTTGAATATTGACGCATCAGAACAGACAATGTTCGGTAACTCGCACTCGCGTGCAAGCAAGTAACTCTTTTGCTTTTTGCACTCATAACTTTTTTTGTTCAGTAGTCAGTTTTTCTACCTTTTGGAACTTGTAAGGCTGTGTTGCATTCGTTCAAGCTATACGTGCAGTTCAGCAGCCAGTTTTCGGAAGACTCCGACGCGGATTTTGTTCGATTCGTGCCTTCACTTTACTTATAATGTTTGCTGGTGTTGTTGCAGTCCTTTCCGGACAATGTCCATAGCCTTTTGCAATGCTTCCAATACCGTTGTATCAGGTTATAGTCCGATACACAAACTTTCTACCCATTGGAAGACTTGAACTATTAACGATGTCCTTTTGAGGCTTCGTAACCAAATATAGAGCAATTACACTGTTACGTTTGAATTCCATCGAGTATAACTTCATTTCTATTCAACTTTGAATAGAATTATTTTAAAAATATGTAAATAATGTAAGGAACTATCATCGCTATCAATTTGGGAACATCTATCGCAATTAGTCCGCGACATACAAGCCAGGTAAGTTAGGGGCCACTTCATATCAGCCACCGGGTATTGTACAGTGGACATTTATGATAAGAAAGTAATGCCCAATACTTTCCATAAAGAAATCGGAGATACAACTTCCCCATCATCTGTAAAGTCAATTAGTCATCTATATGTATATTGCAACAGCTAGATTAGAAGGATTAATTAATGGTCCAACATCTTTGCTGAAAGAAGTATTTCCTGGCAACAGTAAATCACATTACCTAATAGTTTCTTGCCTTCTTGTTCGCAAATTCGTGTTAACCCAACAAGCAGCTTATCAGATAAGGTCTTACTTTTAAGCTCAAACAGTAAAGGACTGTTTGGGTAGTCTTCTGGAAATTGAGCACATACAGTGATTGTTTTATGTACGGTTTTTTTTATTTCAACGCGAACCATTGTCCGTACACATGAAACCAACTTTGTGCCGGCCACAACATGTTCGCAAAGTTTTTTGACTTCAGATAACTCATCTTCCAGATATCCCATAAGAACTGCTTTGGAATTGGAACTGCCTGATAACAATTGTGTGGTTACAAAAAAAAATTTGCCAGCTAAATAGCTGAAGGCACTCACACATAAGGGAGATAGAAGTCATTCCAATGGAAGAATCTGTAAGAATATTAATTAGGAACATGAAAATGAACGAGAATTTGGGAAGTGTGGTATGTGTACAGTTCTGCTTCATTTAAGCTTTGCATAAGGTGCTCAAGATATCTGAAATTTCCGAGCCTAGTCAGTCTCCATCCTGTTCCTGGCACATATCTGACGAAGATCAAAACATTATCGTGTTATACCGGTAATCTGTTAACAGAGAAACAATACAAAAAATAAGAGATTATAATATAAATTATATGAATCCGCAACCGCCAAAGCGCCTGTTTCTGTTCTGTTTTAAATCTTAAGGACATAAAAACGAACATTAACTGGAAATTATGAAGAGAAGAACAAACGTGGTGCTCTAGACAGGTGACTGTTTTACCTGTCGTCTAAATCTGACATCTGACAGGTGGCCTTGTCGAACATTCAGAAAAACTTAAATCCTTTATCATCCAAATAGTAAATTTACGATTTATTAGCAAATTATGTCGGCTTTTCCGGGCAGCATTGCCTTTGATGAATATGGCCGACCTTTCATCATTCTCCGGGACCAAGACCGTCAGAAGCGATTGACCGGTGTTGATGCCCTAAAGGTAGGTTTTGTTGACAATGGCGCTCCCTAACAAACTGTTTCTTTCAACTGGGATTTCTTCTATTTTACACTAAATTCCCAGACAAATCAACGTCTCACACTTTGTGGAGCCCAAAAATTGCTTACTTTAGTTGATTTTGTGATTTTCAGTCTCATATTTTGGCCGCTAGACAGATCGCTAACACACTCAGAACTTCTCTGGGCCCTAAGGGGCTTGACAAGATGTTAGTGTCATCTGATGGTGAGAAGTTAATTTCCTTAATAGTCCATCAAGTCCCACAACAATATTTTGGCAATTTCAGGGGATGTTACTGTAACGAATGATGGGGCCACAATTTTGAAAATGATGGACATTGAGCATGAAATTGGCAAACTTCTTGTAGAGTTGTCGCAATCTCAAGATGACGAAATTGGTAAATTTCACTCAAAGTCTAGTAACAGGTGCAACTTGCTAACAATAAATTGGTGTTGTAGGTGATGGAACCACGGGAGTGGTGGTACTTGCTGGTGGTTTATTAGAGCAAGCAGCCACTTTGATTGATCGAGGCATTCATCCAATCAGAATAGCTGATGGTTTTGAGCTGGCTTGTCGTGCTGCAGTTGAACATTTGGATAAAATTGCTGAACTGTTCCCAGTGTCTGCTTCTGATCCTGAACCCCTTATTAAGGTTGCTTTGACCACATTAGGATCCAAAATTATCAACAAATGCCATAGGCAGATGGCTGAAATCGCTGTTAATGCAGTGTTAGCAGTTGCTGATTTGGAACAGAAAGATGTCAATTTCGAACTGATTAAACTTGAAGGAAAGGTAAGCGATAATGATACCCAAAAGCTGTGAAACACTGCTGGAATGTTTATTTTTTTTATTAGGTGGGAGGCAAGCTAGAAGACACAGTGCTAGTTGAAGGTGTGGTGATCGATAAAACAATGTCCCATCCCCAAATGCCTAAAGAACTGAAAAACGCAAAAATTGCAATTTTAACCTGTCCGTTTGAACCACCAAAGCCAAAAACTAAACATAAGTTGGACGTTACTGATGTGGCCAAATACAAGGAATTGAGGCAGTATGAGCAAGACAAATTCAAAGAAATGGTAAAATCATAGTTTGTTAACCCAAGCAAAAATAAAGGCAATACAATTTTAGGTGGATTTAGTTAAAAAAGCTGGCGCCACTCTAGCTATTTGCCAGTGGGGATTTGATGACGAAGCCAATCATCTTCTTCTGCAGCAGAATTTACCAGCTGTTCGATGGGTGAGTAATTGTTGCCAATAAAATTTACTTTTGTGAAGGTCTGTCTTATGTGGTTTCTATGCGAAGGCTTTTGAGTTTGACACCAATGTGTTCAAAACTCAAGAGTTTTTGCTTGGCCCAGTGGTTTTGAAGACAAATATCTTTGGCTTTTAAGGTTTAATTTAAATATTTTTTTTGTGTAATAACGACTTAAGACAGACCTCCCAAAAACTCGACCAATCTCGATTTCAAATCAATATTGGCAAAATATTTTCTTTATCTTCTTCACTTTGTTTGCTGTTTTGCTAATTAATTTTTGAAAAGGTCGGAGGCCCTGAGATTGAACTAATTGCCATTGCAACGGGCGGCCGCATTGTACCAAGATTCGAGGAGCTCAGTCCTGAGAAATTAGGCTCAGCTGGTCTGGTCCGTGAATTGTCTTTTGGAACTACCAATGATAAAATGATGGTAATTAAGGACTGCGCAAAGTCCAAGTAAGCGAATTCCAACTTTCATTATAAGTGGTTTGCGAAATTATATAAACTATATTTATAGGGCGGTGACGATTTTGGTGAGAGGCGGCAACAAAATGCTGGTAGATGAGGCAAAGCGGAGTTTACATGATGCCCTTTGCGTTGTGAGAAGTCTAATTCAGGTACGGGCTTTACTTCACTTAAAAAAACTGAATGTTTAATTTTAATTGTCTTATAGGATCCGCGTGTGGTGTTTGGAGGCGGGGCAGCCGAAATATCCTGCAGCTTAGCCATTGCCGAACAGGCTGATCAATTAGCTTCGTTGGAGCAGTATGCTTTTAGAGGATTTGCTGAAGCTTTGGATATCGTTCCTCTGGCCCTAGCAGAGAACAGTGGTTTGTCCGCCATTAATGCACTCGGCGAAGTAAAGGTATGTTAACAGTTTTGAAACGAGTTAAGTTTAGTGAAAAACTTGATTGTTTTTTCAATTTCAGTCAATACAGGCTCAAACAGGAAACTCAGCTATAGGCATCGACTGTATGTTCACCGGGGACAATTCCATGCGTAACCAGCATGTCATTGAGTCTCTAAAATCTAAAAGACAACAATTTCTCTTAGCCACACAACTCGTAAAGATGATCTTGAAAATCGATGATGTGAGATCTCCTAATGATCAACGCGGCTAAGAAGGCTTTTACGAATACTTTTAGTATTATTTTAGTTTACATTAAAAACCTAACTCGGACTGGGTCGCAATCCTGCGGGGATTGATATTTGTCTTTCTTTTAAATACCACTAAAATTATTCATCATTTAACATGAATTGAAACGCATTTTATTCACTGGCTGTAAAGCAGATCTGCTGCTTTTCATTAAGTCGTACATGAGTTAGTTAATGATTATGTTAACTAATTCGTTAACGTTATATCGCTGAAAATTTCATTTTTTGCAACATAATGTTAAATTTCATTAAAATTTTTGCTACGAGTTAATATATGCATTTAACAGTTGTTTTTGTGTGTTATTGTAAACTAGCTCTTTGATACCAATAATTCCTGTAGATTTTAGTTTGCAGTTTTTTACTAAATAGACTTCAGAGCGTCATTGCCAAATCGCCGTTTCCATTTAGGTTTTGTTTATTTTATTCTGTCATTTATGTGACAGTTCAGGCACTTCTATAAAATAATAAATAAGACACAAATTAAGATAAAAGTTCTCAAATAATTCAGTAACAAAGAGTTCCACTTTCAAACTGCATGCTTTGGTTCAAAATTGTATGTCCTTGTAACACTGCTCGTTAGTTGTTATTAAAGTCCAGGACAAAAATTGCCCACAACCAGCATGAATCGACAGACCACAAATTATGGGTCCATCAGAGATCCAGAGGTAGGATTTAGCGGAAGCACAAATAACGATGTTTCCAGAGAATTCAACGATTTATTTGATAACATTGCTACGAATCTCTATACAATCAACTCCAGTATTAGAACTCTACTTGATTCCATTAAGTTGATTGGCACAGCAAAGGACAATGCAGGCCTACGAAATAAACTGTAAGTCTATTTTTGTTTATTACATGTGTGAAATTGCTTTGTGAACTCTTAATCAGATATGCTCTGCATGGGTTGAGTCATACTTTGAGACGCCAATTAATTCTTACATTTTTAACAATTTGTTATTGTTGATGTACGTGACTATTGCGAAGCCAACATCAACTTATGAATTGAAAACAGAACATCTACTAAAGTTGACATTGAAAAAGCTAAAAGAAGTTTTCTATTAATAATCTAATAGCCGGAGTGTGCAAGTTGTGCTAGACACCATAAAGAAAATAAAATAATTCATTTATTCACATGCACATACATCGTTGATAAATTCCAATGCACGGTTAATTGAAGAGGTAAAACTTAATTTTAAAATGACAAAAGGATATACATACTTACAAGGTGGTTAACACTAAACTAATAATTAGGGTCGTAGAATTTAAATCTCACTTAAAATATTCGAAAAATTCCGCAACTTTATCGTTGCGTGCTAGAAGCGAATTTTTGCGTATAAGTTCAAATAAACGAAAATTAAAAAATTTAAATTTAAATGAGATCACGCATGCATCTCTTAAACGGTCCGTTCAATGGGCGAAATTTTCCTCTCACCTAAACTGAACGAATATAAATGAAAATTTCAGGTGAATTTTTAAGTTGAAAATGAGGCAAATATTTGTTTTCATTCATTCCGTCGGTCGGATGCAAAAAAATGCGCGCTTACTTTAAATTGGGTGATCACACACTTAATGCCCGGGTTGTCAAAATAAGCAAAAATTTGTAACTTGTTTCATATATTATTGATCGTTGATTTCAGGCATGTAACGCAGATGAGCACAAATCAAGTAGTGGCAGCGACCTCAAGAGATATCGTCAAATTGAGTAAAAAATTACCCAGAAGTGACAAATCTAGAGTATTACAACTGGACAAATTGGAAAGTGACTTTAAGTCCACAATAAATAAATATCACATTTTACAAAAAGTACGTAGTTCTTTTTGTAAGAGAACAATTTGTTTTTTTGTTTCCTTTTCATGCAATCGTGGTATTTTGATTACAGGAAGTAGCAGATAAGCAAAAGAGCAATTTGCTTCTCTTAGCCACTGTAGAGCATACACCACCAGATGAAGTGGAAGACGAATCGGAACAGAAACAGATACAACGTACCAGGGAAACGAAACATGAACAAGATATGCTGTTGGAACGGGCAGAAAGAGTCAAAAGGATTGAAGATGATATTCTGGATATAAATGAAATTATGAGGGAACTGGCGTTCCATGTGGAACAACAGGCTGATACTATTGGTGGGTTTTCCAGTATTTTCGATTTTTTTTTATATTCGTTTGTTAAAAACTGGTTTATATCAGTGTATATTATTTGATTTTAGAGACAATTGAAAACAGTATTGATCACGCAGTAGGAAACGTTACTGAAGGGGCCGAGCAAGTGCGCAAGGCTTCACAGTATCAAACTAGATATAGGAAGAAACTAATAATTTTTGTGATAATTGCGGTGCTCATAGCGATTATATTAATTGCTATTCTGGCGACAACGCTGAAAAAATGATTTAAAAAAATGTATTTTTACTTTGTATACCATTATAGTTCGATTTTTAATATTGCAAGATTCAAGTACATATATATGATATATTAAGTTTTATATTTTGCAAATACATTACTGATTTTTAATTAAGATTATGTCCTTGTTAGATGCATGTTCGATCTTAGCTTAAATCATATAGATAGATGATGTATTATCAGGAATGTTGCAAACAAAATTTAGGTTGATTAATTATATATTTTTTGACTGCTTATATTTATTCAATTTTTGGTCCCCGTCGTTCCCGCTAAAGTGAGCATCGAAATACAGATATTTCCGTACACATTTTGCACAGCTTTCTCACAAATATTTAATTTGTGCAATATCAACAACAACATTTTTGGGGTTTGTGGCCCTGAATCTTCTAAATCCCCCGGGTTCGTTTGCTTTAATAAAATATTACGAGGAAATGGAATTATGGAAAATAAGTGTTTTGCGGCGAGTTTTGACTCAATTTCGCTTGAAATAGTTCAAATTTATTTGTTTTGTCAACAGAAAATCATTGTTAAGGAGCAGAACAAGCGAGTGGAAAGCAAATTGCCTAAAAATCCAATTTGATCCATTGGACATTTTGCGTAATGCTGAATGAGTGAGAGCTTTACTTTATGGTGAAGGCTCCTCATGTTTTGAGTTCCTAAACTATGTTTAAAAATGTTGTTTCTTTTTGTGAATCCATTTCCATTATTTCTGGAAATACAAATCTATATCAGCTAGAATAACAATTAAAAAACTTTCTTTGCGATTAGATTGTGTTTGCTTTGAAAAAAATAATTGAAGCTTAAGAAATGATAACAAATAAGTGTTATTGCGTGACTTGTAAATCAATTTCGTTTCAAAGGACTTTATTTTGATTTTTTTCGACAAGACAAAAATAAAAAAAGTGCTTGAATTAGCTTTTAACAGAAATTCGTAACGTGTAAAGAGATGTCCAGTTTTAAGGGTCAAAGAAAATAGGTCAAATAGCTTTTCAATTTCTAGTTCTTTACTCTACAGAGAGATTAAAAACCCATATTTTATTCAATTTTGAACGTTTTCACATTATCTCAAAAAATAGTCGAAAATAGCGTAGTAATTATTAGGGACTTTCCGATAAAAAACGTGTCGAGTCTTCTCTCGTTTCTAATCGTTTCAAAGTTATATTTTTGAGACTTTAGGATGTAAAATATTTTATTATACAGGGTGTTCTCTAGGTGATATCGTTATGCCACTGTGAACATGTTTTTAATCGATTAAGAGGCATTTTCTGATGTACAGGGTTATTGATTGAACTTTGGCCACCCAGTTTTAGCATCTAATTTGAAATTTAGAGAAAAATGTTAAATGCAAAACTTGTAGATATTAACGTCCAGTTTATTTTAAGATAACACCAATTGATACAGGGTGTCTCAAATCCAAGTGGCAGACCAAATTTACCTTCTTTAAAATGGAATGCCGTAATTTTTATTACATATTCGAACTATTCGCACAATTCTAAGCCTAATCGATGTAAATGTTCTATAATGATTTTCAACTGTTTTTGAGTTAATAACCAATATTGATTGAACTTTGGCCACCCTGTTTTTTAATTTAATTTGAAATTTAGAAAAAAATGTTAAATACAAAAGTTGTAGATATTAACGTCAAGTTTATTTTAAGATACTACCAATTGATACAGGGTGTCTCAAATTTAAGTGGCAGACCTTAAGTGGTAAACTTTTTTTTTTTAATGGAATGCCAAACTTTTTATTATATATTCGAACTAATCGCACAATTCTAAGCCTATTCGATGTAAATGTTCTATAATGATTTTCAACTGTTTTTGAGTTAATAACCAATTGTGTAAATTTTCTGTATTTCAACTTAATTCAAAATAAATTCCTGCCTTCCAGTCAATTTTATTGTTTATCATTTAAATTGTTACAAATACGTTTCGGTGTTTTTCTCCACCATCATCAGTTTGGCTAAAATATACATTCACAGTCGTCATTAGTTTAAAACAAGAGTTCTGTTAAAATATACATACTGAAATACAAATTACAAACATATTAATATGTTAAATGTAACATTTTAAATTATAAACATTAAAATTGTCTTTAACCAAGGGATTTCTTTTGAATTAATAACCAATATTGATTGAAAATTGATTGAACTTTGGCCACCCCGTTTTTGCATGAAAAAATAAGGACGTTAATATTTACAACTTTTGTATTTAACATTTTTCTTTAAACTTCAAATTAGATGCAAAAACGGAGTGGCCGAAGTTCAATCAATAACCCAGTCAAAGACTTTCATAATGTTTCACAATGCATCCGTTCAGAGTTCGTATTACGGCTTTCTCATAAAATGAAAACAATTTTTACATTTCTCATTCATTCCAGACTGTTACTGATTGGCCTGAAGTAAAACGACTTTTATTTATTTAACTGAAAACCATACGTTGTACGCAGTAAACTCAAGAGATCAAATTTGCTCAAAATGGATGAGAATGGGAAAAATATGTTTTAGATAACAAGTGGTGCACCATTTCTTTCTAAAAAATATTCATTGGAATATCCGTACAGTCGCCAGTGGAAAAATTGATAAAATTGTTTCAGAAATCAAGAAATCAAAAAATGCACCTGGATTCGGATCATTAAAGACATGTATTACAGTTCATAAAAGCACTTACAATAGCCGTTAAAAAACTGTTTTTCGAGAAACTTTACTATCCTGTACCTCGGAAGTTAGAACGTTTAGGGAACACGTTGAAGAGACTTTTTTGTTCATATTTCATTACCCGAAAGTTAAAGTAAGTCGTAGCTTTTTGAAAAATGTCCCTAATTAATTTGAATTTTAGACGTTCTTAATCTACATTGTATATAGGAATAAAAAAAGCTCTTGAATATTTTCATATAGAATGTTTCGGAAAACTAAGCAAATATCGCGATATTTCCGAGTTTAATTTTATGACCGAAATTATTAAGGTGTATTTTTGTTGCATCTTTTTTTGAATTATCCTTTAAATATTTGGACTTATTGCAGTCTTATGGAAAAACTTTAACTTAAAAAAAATAAATTAAGTAAAACTTTGCGGCAGTAGAAAAAACCGGTAGTCTTTAAATACGCGGAGATACAATGGAAACAACGTTTGTAGCAGATAGTCGGCACTTTGCTCACTTTTTCATTGCAGACTTTGAATAAAATAATAGTGAAGTCCTGTAGACTTATTCACCCTACTCGGTTATTTATGGGTTTGGCGAGTTACTTTGCAAATTCAAATTAAGTGTGTGGCGGTTTACTTGTCCGACTGCATAACGTCTGGCTCCAATTTTTTTCCTCTATTTGTTGGGACAAAACCGTATTTTTTTCCAATTTGGTCAATAAATTAAGGCGCGTTCATCCCATTTTGCATCGAATCGACCGGACCGCGGCAGCCGGCGACTTCGAAAAGGCAACCCGTTCATTGTTTGGCCTACAGAACACAACCATTGTGTTGTCTATTTGCAAGCTACTCGCCTGATGGGTGCCCACTGAAATACGCAGGAATATTCATAAGGACTCCATTTAAATTGACATTGAAATTAACTAGCCTCATGGTCGATTCAAATAAGACTAATATGAAGGCAGGCCACGACGCAAAACTGCCAATGGGTGAACTGATTCCCAACTGAAAAAATTGTTCTTCTATTACAAAAAAACATATCTTGAACGAAGGAAATTCAGAAATCAATTCTCTAGCTTTAAAGCGGCAGGCTTTAACTTTCTTTCTTCGGGAATTTTTTCCCCGGGTGAAATTCTCGTCTATTGGCTATAAAAACTCTGCGTAAAAAGGAACTGGACTTTTAAAATCGATTCCACACATGGCTCAAAGCACCTCGAGTTTTCAGTTAATTTTATATGGAAAAAACGGTCTAAATTTCGGATTTTCATTATTGAAGAATTTTCTCTTACATATTTTGAGCGGCTGATTCGAATGGTACCATTGTTTCTAAATATTACATAAGAAAAAATACTCAAAAAACACGAAAAGTTAATTAAAAAGACATTAAATTGACCTGTAACGACCATAATCATTCAATTTTGTTTCAATTTTTTTTCATATGTTTTGAGCTGATGAATGCTGGTGCGCTTAATTTTTGTCTACGTATCTAAGATTTCCCCATTTCAGAGACATTTCTTGCTACATCCAGGACGTTTCCCAAATCACAATCGATTTGCAACAATTTGAGTGTGTTTTTTATTGATTTCTGACTGAATTTTTTTTTGAATCACTAATTTTTAAACTAAGAATCTATCACTATACACTTTTGTTATTTCTTTTGGTATCTCAAAAGTTCATTGCATTCTTTATTTTTCGATTTTTAAAGTCAATTAATTCAGTTCTACAGTTCGTGTCGTTAGATTTTTCATCTTCTTCAATTTCGTTTTCGAATCGCAGCAGGTTTTGATAATTTTTGATTGAATGATTATCTCCGTATATTCCTTTATCTCTCCCTAAAACTCTGTCTTCACTTATGAAAATTAGGTTGGATCTTATATTTTTTCCTTAGGGGACTTTTCTCCGGGAAAAATAAATTTTGAGTTTGGTCGCCAAAAAGTGCGTGAAATAAATGAAAAATTACCAACAAAGAAGAACTAAAGAGCAGTAGAATTTTGAAAACCGTTTGGTACGACAGTAAGGAAACATGGTTTGTGAGTTTGACAATTCTATAAAAATTGTGAAGCGCATCGACTGATATCGAAGAAGTGGTTGCAACTGAAAAAAACTCCAATTTCTTCGTTGAGATTTGATCGAAAATCGTTCAAGTCGCTCGTAAAATTCCCATATAAAAATCATAAAGCACGCTTATGAGAAGAAGCACACGTAAGAGGATATAACGAGAATCGATCGAAACGAACTGTTAATTTACGTTCGCGAAAAATTCTTCCAAAATATCGTCGTTTGTGGTCAACAAATAATCATATTAAATAAAATGTATTTTTGGTAGAATCAAAATCACTTAATTTCCAGGACAAAATCAAAGAAAATCTAATAAAAAGCTGTTGATTTACGTTCAAGGAAAAATATTCCTCAAAATAGAGGTTTGAAAATATAAGACAGCAAGAAGTTAATGAACTCTTGAGATACCACAAAAAATAGCAAAGGCGGACTATACGAACTTTTTTATAATTTAAAAATTATAATTTCAAAGTAAAACATAGGAAAAAACCCATTGAGTTTAATGCAATTCTGTAGGGATTTTGAACACGGAATGGGAAAAAATACTGTTAAATATGAAAGAAACAAAGCTGTGATAATGAAGAAGCCTTTTTGCGATTTAAAGAAGCCAATTTGTTCCGTGCAATATGAACAAAATTTTAAAATCATTGGTAGAAACCCTTATAAAGAAGTCATAAAGCAAACGTACATAACACATGATTACGAGAAGAAAAATTACCAACAACTGCTGCGTTTCCCAGACGAAATTGAATTGAATTAACGAAAATCTAGTGACACGAATTGACGAACTGAAGAAAAAGTTTTTCTAATAATGTACGATTGTGCTTAACTATTAATTGGAGTTTAAAAAATCAGAGAAAATAGGCGGCAATTAATTTTTGAGACATCGCAAGAATGTGTGAATAGTGATCTATTCATAATTTTAAAAGTGTTGATTTAAAAAATTGAACCAACAAACTAATGAACGAAAAGGCAAATCGAGTGCGGAAGAAACCATTAAAAAACACATTCACATTGTTGCAAATCGATTGCGTTTTTGGAAACGTCTTGGACGTAGCAAGAAATGTATTCTAAATGAATTCAAATTGTTCATAAAAGGCCTAAACAAGAAATCATAAATGAGTAGGTAGGTAGGAAATAAGCGCACCACTGGATTCAGAAGTTTAAAACACATGAAACAACAATTTAAACAAAATTGAATGATCATGGTCGTTACAGGCCACTTTAGTGCCTTTTTTGACGATTTTTTCGAGAATTTTTGTTTAAAACTGTATACAATACTTAGAGAAAAACATATGCGATGCAAACCAGCAGCTCAAAATACGTAAGACAATACGGTTTTTAGAACGATAAACCGATTAACACGTTTTTCCCATATAAAATCAATGGGAAATTGGCGGTACTTTGAGACACGTGGATAAATGGATTTTAGAAGTCCAATTCCTTTTTGCCCAGAGTTTTTAGAGCCAATAGAAGATATTTTTAATCTAGTAGAAGGTCCCTGAAGAAAAACCAATTGATGTCCGACCTATGATTGGCAAGTGATGTCTTTTTTAGGCAGAAGAATACACGGGGATAATCATTCAATGATTTTTTCACGGGAACCTGAATTTGGTATTTTTAAACACAGAAAAAGATTTGTTAAAGTTCGCTACAAAAGTTTAGGCTCAACTGCTGTTGCTTTCTTAAAGTTGAAACATCAAAAACATTTTTCAGCTGGTCCGTATTTTTTTCCACAAACATTATTTGCCCTAGCCGAGACAAAAAATGTTAAAGCAAAACACCCAACAAAAAAGTTTTTATACACATTGAAGTAAAAATGTTAAATCAGTTATGAATTGAAAATTTTGTCTTTTTAGCAATTCCGGCAAGCGTTCGATGAGGTGTACGAATACAAGTGAGCGTTCCATCCACCCGTTGATGTCTTTGCTCGTACATATCGCCTATCGTCTGGGCCCTTATCCTACGCGCTTGAGCTTACTTTGATGCACTTGTTACGGTTAATTCATCAAGGATGTTAGGTGGTTAGCCCAGTTAAGCCCCGGACAGAGAAAAAAGCAAATTAGCTGCCTAAAAAAAGATAAATTTTCCTATTTCGGCTTTTGAAGTACCGAAATAGAAAAGAATACAATGATTCGTGTCCCTTTACCGAACAATAAGAGAGAGGTTCCTGTTTCAAACTTACCGCGCTCTTCGGCAGACCCGACTTATACCTGTGTGCCTTCCGCGGGCACCAGTCCACAAGACTAAGACAGGTGGGGCAAGGGGGCACAATGGAATGCAGGAGGGGGTACCACTCTTACGGTTCCATCTCGTTTAGTCCATCTTAAGAACTCGAGGAACAGGTACCACCTCGTCGCGACCATCGGTTTCGTTTATTTCTTGTGTTTTTCCACCCACCTAAGCCTAACTACGAGTTTCAAAAGTGACTTCACTCCCTCGTTCGTTGTGTAGCATATTGCAATTTGTATGTGTGTGCTTAATCCGAATTTATGTTAAGTGAAGTTCGCTTCCTAATATTTGGATTATACAGCCGAATACGGAATGCAAGCTGATGAATCCGACTTCCTGCAGGTACGACCTGGACAGTTCCTTCAACAGTTTCACATACTCTTCTAAAACTCAAGACCGAAAAAAGCTGGTGCTACTTTAACACTGATGTGCTTAAACGAGCCACATTGCAGAGATGCCTGCCTCAGGGCGAGTGTTCTCAACATTCATCTAATTAAATTTTGATGTTTTTGCTTTTAGAAGAATTCCCGTTTTTGCTCCTTGATCATTACATAGGATTCTTTAAGTATTTCATGTTTTTCAGCCACCTAGTTACCTTGAAGTTGTTAACAACCTTAGTAGCTACCGATATTAATGATCTCAAACTACCGGTTTACAGATAAATAAATAACGATTCTTATCTCTAAGGGTTTATGCAAGCAGTCTCTTTAACTCTTGCTCTCAACGCTACAATGTAGGTACTATGCAGCGGAAGTGATTAATTCTAGTAAATTTCAAATAAAAATTTGCCTTTAATGAATACTTGTTTCATTGCTTCTTAGTTGGAGAGCTTTATGTGAATTTTTGCCAACAATCATCTGCCTTTAGGATGTTAAATTTGAAACTAAAGTTTTGCCGCGCTTTGCTGTTAATGTTTTTTCAAGACAATAATTCCTTATGAGAGGAAAAATAAGTTGCTTAAAGGATTTGTTAAATCAATTCTTAGACCGGTACCTGCATGTGACATTTTAATAAAGCATTGCAAGCATAAAGCAGCAGGACAAAGCGAGTGAAGCACTTAAATTTCTCTTTTACGCGTTTTTTCTAGCTGATGTTTAAAGGGCAAACACATTGAGAAAATTTGCTGCGTCTTTCATTGCAGTACTCCATATATTTTCTGTTTGGTTTGTTGTTAAAAGTATATAAAAACTTACAAGTTTTTATGCAGAAAGAGTCAAAAGTACTACTAATTTACTTTATGTACTTATTAGTTTTATTTAATATGTTTTTATTCAAATACATAATAAAATCACATTGCCGATGACACACCGATTGAAGCATCAACTTTAATTATCATAGACATTTCAATTATTCCCATATGCATATGGGCGCATTATTTATTTATTTTCTTATAAAAATGTTGCTTTTGGCAAATCACGGATTTTTAACACATTTTGGAATCGCGCTTTTTAATATCCAGCTACACATTTATTTTGACTGTTCTAGTTAGATGTGCTCAACATTTTTTGAGGATGTAAAAATATATTAAAATTCATAATGTTATGAAAAAAAATCGTTCACACGAAAAAACTGAACAAAACTTTGTCAACTTCACAAGGTTGGGAAAAATTGTATGTGAGGGGATTTTTCAATTTTTATTATTCTGTAAAAATGCAACATTTGGCAATGAAAAAATCCGAAAGTCGACGTAAGGAAATCAATAATTTTTAATTTATTTTACGAGCCCGCTTTTGATAATCAGTTGCAAATTTACCTTTAGGAATTGGCTTAGAGTCGTTTGAGGACGTGAAAAAGTTGCTATTTAATGTCCCTTGAGAAACTTATCATGCACAACTAAAATCCACATTTGATCTGTAGAAGCGAATTAAATTTTTAAAATTTCCATATAATTTTATATTTTTTAAGCATTTAACTACATGCGAATCTTTAACCTCTGTGTCCTATAAAAAAGTTCAAACATCTAAAGGTTCTCAAACTGTTGCGTTCTAGATTAAAATTCCTCGATAAAGAGAAAGCCCGGCTGTTAAATTGATGATAAACTAAATTAAACCATTTAAGAGACAAAAGACTCATAATGTATGGATATTTATTAGGTATTGGAAAAACATCATTCTACAAAAATATAACTAAAAAACTCTTGAAGAAAATATTCCAATTGTTAAGGTTAACCAACCTGTTAATTTGTATGTAAGTTTGCAAAAAATTGGGTATCAAACGTTCAAGAACAAAATACATAAAAAAATAACTTTTCAGCTAGTAGCCAGAATAACAATATCTTTAGAGAAAGAGCAAAACTATAAATGTATTCCATTATTTTTAAAACAGGATCAGGAAAAGTGTAGTTCACTGAAAAAAATAGTTAATTGAGTGCCAGAGACTTAAATTACTTTTAAACTAGTTCTTCTTCGGCTTTTAGTCTGGCTTCTAATATTTAAGTTTCATTCGGGTGCTCTTGAAAGAAACTTAAACAAACCTCATAACTGGTTTAGTTGTTTAACAAAAAACGTGCACATATACGACGGTCGTAATTAATTTGAGCCTGCCAGATGGAATTCAGAATAGTTAAGAAAAGCTACGGGCCATTCATTGCTGCCTTTGCTATTTACATATTTGCGATAGCGATTTACTTAAATATGAAGCTTTAAGCGCAGTCTAGTCAAGTTGATACAGTTAAAAACTCAACTGACTCTTACTCGGATATTATATGTTAAATATTTTTTAAATGTCTGATTTTACGTTAATTGATTTTATTTGGTGTAAAACTTATGCGTTTAAATTTTTGATCTCTTCACATTGATTATAGATACAATTATTGTTTTATTATTGTTTTAATGCGGTGAAGACATTATATTTCATGGTTTGTTGACCGCTTAAACCTTCGTGGCTTAAAATATTAAAATCTAAGTAAAATGATAAAAATCCATACAAAATATTTGCCACAACTAAAAATTACAAAAAATACAAAACAATTTGGAAGGAATTTGACAATAAAATTTTGTCAGACATTTAAAAAAAGGTGTTTTTTCACTTTATATTTGACGATATCTTCGGTTTTAAGAAGATGCGTTGGGTTTAGTTTATTTGTTGTGATTTGATCTTTGTTTCCAATTTGCGTTGAACTGTATTTGATATGACTTGATGACATCATTGAACTGGAAAAGAAGACAATGATCAAGCGAAATTCAATACAGAATATTGAACATTAGCACAATCAACTGAGTAATTTGGAAAAATTATAGAAGTGTTAAATAACCGCTTGTAGTTAAATGCGCTTACATAGAATTTGTGGAAAGTACGATGTGAATGTTTAAAACCAAAGTGATAATATACAGACACAAAATTATAAGTTCGTTGAGTAATCGGAGAAATAACAGTGACAGAAAATTAACGCTCTTAAAATATGGGGTACATTTCAATCTTTATCATTTCAGATCACTTTTGAAATGTATGAATGTAGGAATAACTGCATACTTTATAAAACAATCTAAAATCAATATACACTTTGTACTACATACTTATTTTTTTACAATAAAATTTTGTTTAACTACAGCAGTATCGTCTGCAGAAATCAATCAGACATGAATGAGGAATTAGACGCCCATATGAATATGAAACATATATATTATGATTTTATTATTTGCAACGGCAGAGAGAAGATTCCGTGAGGAGATAATAATGAGTTGTTAATTAAGTCTTGAACTAGATGCATAACTCTGCCGATTACTTTGTGATAAGCGAACGTAATCTAAAAATTATTCCCTGATAACAGTCGGGAACAGTTAGATACGTCTTTAATTACTTAAAGTTGTGTGAGACTGATGTTCCACAGTCTGCGAAGAATTATAACTATTACGTATCTATCAATCATTTTATGTATGTTTGCTTCGGGAATTGTCCTGTTTTTTTCCACTCCTTTGAATTAAATATGTTAGACTACCCACTGTACTGTTATAGCTGCGTTAGTCGTATCGTCCAAACGAGGTTTACCTTCATTAATATTAAAATATTTTTAAATGCATTTGCACTTGACACCTCTTTAGTACCTGTTCTAGGCGCAACCACGCTGAACAGCAATGACCTAGGCGGTATTCCAAAATTACGCATGTTTCCAAAGGGCATTACACTCGAAAAGTGAGAAAAACCCAAATAAATATTTACCTAGCGCCTTGCTGCATAAATGCTTGTTTTGAAATAGATCAGCAACAAGTAAAAAAACAGAAAAAGTTAAGTTTACAATTACCAGTATCGAAGATGTGGAAGTGGCGAGACTAATTTTTGCCATGTTCGATCAAAAGCCATAAAATAATCAATTAATAAACGTCTTTGATTCTAAAAAGGCTCGAGCATGTCTTTACGTCGTCGTGTTCATCCGAGTTTTCTCTGGTCATGATCGATGGCAATAAAATTTACCAAACAGGAAATCATACATATGTCGCGAGCTTATTCGCGATTTCCTAATGTTCACAGTTAACGCTTTGGATTACGCGAAACACAAGAATGTGGTAAATATCGTTAACCTCAAATGTCCATTTAAAAAGTTATTGTTGGCTTAAGCGGCGTTGAATCATAAAACGATGCAAATCGAAATGTCAAGGCCAGTTTCGGTGGATGAACTTTGTCGTATTATTGTTTTGGTCGTGTTCAAAATTACTGACAATTTTTTTCTTCGTTATTTCACATTATTTTGTTTTCTTCGTAGAAGATGGTACTACAGACCCACTAAAAAATCTTTGCCCCCTATTCAGATGCATTTTGGCTCTTGACTGAGTGATTTTGACTGGCTTTGAAAAACAATCATTTCACTAATTTAAAACATTTACAAAAATGCAAAATGAATAATTTTGATTGCAACTCCAACATTCTTCTTAAAAAATCATAAATTCGTTGAGTATATCGAAAAAATAACAGTGACAAAAAATTAACGCTCTTAAAATATTGGGTAAATTTCAATCTTTCTCCTTTCAGATCACTTT